AGCTTTGTGTTGAACATCCCTAAGGGATCATCTTTACACGCCTCCTTTGTTACTATCAACCATGCACTCTTCAAGCCATTTATCCACCATGCCAAGCTCTTCTCAAAACATGTTTCAAGGTGAATTAGCTGCTGCCCAGGAGAAACTAAAGAAGGAAGTTGAGCTTATGATGAAACAAATCAAGGAGCTCACTAATTCAGTAGAGATTCCCACGTTTGAGGGAAGAAACGACCCGGAGAGGTTCTCAAAGTGGTTAGCAAAAGTTGAAGACGTCTTTATACTCAAAGACGTACCCGAAGACAAGAGGGTCAAGCTAGTGGTGGCAAAGTTTCAAAGACATGCCTCTACTTGGTGGACTAGCGTTGCTTCAAAACGAAAGCTCCAAGGAAAAACAAAGGCGAGAACTTGGGAAAAGTTAAGAAAACTCTTAATTAAGAGATTTTCTTCCAAAGATCATCTCCACCAGGTACTTGAAAATACTCTCCCTTTTTCACCCCATACTCTTTCTAAAGTCCTACCACCTTCCCCACAACAAAAGTCCCTCCATATTGCCCTCTCTCCCACAACCTTAACCTCCTCTAAATCCCAATCTTTGCAGAATTCTCACGCTACCCAAATCATTTCCGAAGCCATCACCATCTTCAACACTCAAACTCCCTCTAAAGCTCTCTATTTACCTTGCATCCATGCTGTCCAAAACATCTCTCACCCAACTCCCTCACACCTACCCAAAATTCCTACTCAAACAACCTCTTTACCTTCCTTAGCCACTGCCCAAACTAACCCAACACCCCTTACCACACCCCTGCCCCAAAATACCTCAAAACCCATTTATATTTCATCCCTGGCCACTGTCCAAACAAAACCCAAAACCCTCTCAATACTCCTACCTCCAAACTCTTCCAAAACCATACCCAACATCCCTCCACAAACTGCCCTAACCCTCCCCACACCTACCCCTACACTCCCACTTGAAAAACCATCTAAAACCACGCCTTTACCCCTCCTAACCACTGCCCATTACACCCCCAACTTCAGTCCGACCCCCTCACCCCAACCCGTTCCCAACGTCATGTCTTTAAGCCAACCACAAACCCCCAAGAGTACCCTTGAAGAGTCACCCTTCTTCATGGTTCAAGCTCCCATCTTTGCTCCCCAATTTTCTAAACCTGAACTACCTTCCTTTCAAACTACTGAAACCATGCAGCCCATTACTCCAAGGATCATTTGGGATGAATATGATGACGAGGACAATGATGAAGAACTTCTCAAAGAGAATGAAGAAGTGTTTGAAGACGCAGAGGATAACCCATTTTGGGTTACAGAGATAAAAGAAGAAGAGCAAGAAGAGAAGACCCACGAAGAAGTCGTCAATCCTATTGCGGAACCCTCCGCTCGAGGCCTATCTTCGTTAATGGTACTTCGTACCAAACGTGTTGAGTTTTTGCAGGTCCTCTATGAAAAGAAGGTTGAGAAGAGTCATGACTCGAAATGGTCCATTCAGCCCGGCGATCTAGTATGGGTTCACATTCATAAGGCGCGTTTATTCAATAAACGCAAATCAAAGCTACAACCCCGAGACGATGGCCCGTTTGAAGTATTGGCAAGGGTTCACAAAAACTCCTACGTGGTCAATCTTACACGAGGTCTAAAAGTTGCTGCCACATTTCACCGAAGAGATCTTAGCCCGTATGAGGATTTTGAAGATCTTCCGAGTTTGAGGACAAACTCTTTTGAAGACCAGGAGGATGTTATATCTGGGCCTGGCCCTATCATACCCTCCCCCATGTCCCACACCCTTGCAAAGACCAAAGGATGCACGTTCAAACATTATGATCCATTTTAGTGCGAATTCCGAGTCCTTCAACCCGAGCGGCAAGAATAACTTTGGGCCAAAGGGTTCCACAAACCGACTCCCACTCCGTCCAACCCAACCCTAAATATCCAAATCCCCTTTCCATTTAATTCATTTCAAAATAAA